GGTGGGTGGTGGCGGGCAGCGGCGAGCAGCGACGGACGACGACTCTGGTGAACAAATGGTAAGAAGAAGAAGATGAACAATGTTTTTGCCCTTTATTGATATTATTTTTATAAAGTTAACTTAATTTAAATTTTTTTTAAATATATTACTTTTATTGATATTAAACCCCAAAAGTTGCCCTTATATGCTATTACCCCTAATAATAATAATTGTAGGGAACTGTTTCAGTTGAGTACTGTTTCATGTCATCACTGAAATGAACCGATTAGGGGTGTAAACGAAACGAATTTGAATCAGGTCAGGCAATATCCGAATTTCAATTTGATTAAAAAATCTGATATTCGAATTTGATTCGATATCCGACGGATATTGAAAATTAATATCCAAATTCAAATCCGATTAAATATTCGAATATCTGATTCGATTCGAATTCGATTAATTAATTATTTTAGATAATTAATAAAATATCCAAATTCGATTCGAATTTATCGAATCGAATCAGGTCATATCCGAATTCGAATCCGATTAACTATTCGGTAAGAATAGAATATCCAAATTCGACCGATTAAATATTCAAATTATTCGATTATGTTGAATATTAAATTCGGAATCGAATTTTCGAATATCCCTAAAACCGATTGACTTGGGTCAGCCCAATGCTGATAGCTTACTCCACGTTGGATGGGGCAAACTCTTCTCTCCATGCTATGCTGGGTCATATATAGAATGCAGGTGATTGGGTAACTCATCGTCACGGTTCACCGATCTTATTGAATTGTCTATAGGAAGCGCCTCTTCTTATCCGGACCCTTTGAAAACTCTGCTCCTGACCCCGGTTAACTGCTACGGTTGTTTATCCTACGAATTTTGCTTTTGCTCTACAAAAATCAACATAATTTAGGTGATTCTTTTCCCAATACGAAGGTTGCATCCAATTTAAGTTAACCTCCAATCTGAAGTGTGTGTTGCTTGGGCTTGGGGTGAGGTGGGTAACGTCGTTGCTCTAGCTAAGTCTATAGTCTTTATTATGTTACTGGGTATTCATTAAAATCTAACTTGAATCATCTACTCTATTTATGTAAGTTAAGAAAATTAAAGGGGGAGCAATGGAAATAATAAATGAAATTAAATTTAAGGCCCGTTTGGTTTGGTGTGTCTGTTTGTATAGTCTATCGGCTATTTAGAAATGCAGTAGATCATGTTATCGTCTTTTTCCATTTGGTTCAGAGGAGATTTAACCGCTAAAAAACATACGTTGTGTCAAAAAGGCACACAAAGTCAGTTTTGAGATATTTTCGTGAAGCTTCAAGTGGAGCTTTTCAGTTTTTTTTTCTAACTCGTATTTGAGAGGAAAGACGTGCGAAAAGATATGCCTTAACCAAACAGTGTTCAGGCTATCAAGATCTTGATGCAAAAGCTTACTATGTCTTTTAACTGTCATAGCTTCCAGAATACAAAAAAGGCTTGCCAAAAGGCCCTTAAATGAACTTACACATCACGTCGGAAAATTCAACCCTTTCATCAAATTCCCAATTTACATATGGATGATTTTATATACTACCAATTCAGATTACTTTGTATTTGATGAGGGGTGATTTAGCCCTCTAGTGACATTACGACACATGGCTCCACAAACCCGATGGACAACAACTCAACTCCACGTAAGCAGACTTCAGAAATATGACGGGAACCTCACATCCATCGCTGACTCTTCGGCCCCACTTCGGCAAGTCGGCCTGTAGATAGATYAGCCAGTGTCAAGTCGGCATATGAGGCAACCTGCCTCCGTCGACCTAGTAGATACGTGGCCCAGCCTTGGCAGGCCAGATTGGAAATAGGTTGGACGAAGACAGCTCAACGTGGGAGGCGACTTGACTCCGCTAACCTAGTGAAGATTTAGCTAATGGCCAATGTGATGCAACGAGCGAGCGACCTCCTCCTCGAGTAAGCTACTGCTTCCGGCCTTCCTGAGATCACGATGCCACATCGTCAGAGCTAACTACTGCCTCGCTCGCTTTGGGTGCAACCGAATAAGCACTTCCCATTTACACGAAGTCCACCACTGGGCGTGAAACCACCTCCGAACCAAACGAGTCAGAGATCTCGGACGCGCTTCGTGGAGCTTATGACATCCTGTCTATATAAAGGCATTCCCTTCTACAAAAGAGGTACGTGCAATTCAGCACTAACAACTCTCTTGCTCTCAAGCTTTTTGATTTTCACAACTTATCGCTCTCGGGTAAAACAATCTAAATACTCTGATATCTTCTTTTGCAATTCAACTAGGCGACCTATTCAAATTGGCATCTGAGCTATTCGCCAAACGAGAGCACCTGATCACGCATGATCAGTATCCATCGCCACCAAGCACAAATCTTGAAATTTCCAAATTCCATGGTTGGTTCATCTCAATTTTTGCTGAAACGATTGGTTCTTCTTTTTTGGCGGGGTTTCCATGTAAGCATTTCTAACTAGCAATCATTAATGGTAATAGAATATTCAGTTTTAAAACGAGTACAAATAGAAATATATAGGATGCAAAACCTTGTATTTTACATTATTATATATATATATATATATATATATATTTGTATTTATACTCCTTCCAAACTAATCCTAAGGATTTTGCAAACAGTTGTAGAAATTTTAGTCCATTTACCGTAACGAGATTTTCCGATTAATAAATTAGAATATGCACTAATTGGCCAAACACTAAACTAAACTGATGGAACACCAAGTTTAAATTACTTGCTTTAGTTGGACTATTGTAGTAGGACAAAGTGAGAAGTGATATTTATAGTAGACAAAGAAATAAGATCAAGATTCATAAGAGCCAAGAGGTGTTCTCGCGAAGTGGAGTAAAAGCTAGACAAAATTAGATGATAGATTTGGACCATTTGGTTACTAGTCATTGAAGTAGAGGGGGTGGGAGACGATTCTGTCCTACTGCTTAATTACTTTGTTTCTTTTTTCTTGAAAATTTTGTAAAATTTGATTCTTCAGAGACTCATAAAAAAATATAAGCATATACAGAAAAGAAAAAGAGAATGATCTAACAAGAAAAGAAGCACACACACTATCTCTCTCTCTGAGAGCTGCAACTTGTTGAAAAGCGGAAGCGCTTCAATCCGAAAAGCAGGGTTTCCTCTGTGCTGCGCGACCATAGTAATAAAACGTGCAGGGATGGCATGACAAGAAAAAATGGAGGAGCTGGGAAGGGTCGAACAGAGAGAAACGTGAAAGAAAGGACTTGTTTTGTTTTGTTTCGGGCTTTACATTATTCTTGGTAATTTTTTTATGAAAGAAAAAATGGTTAAATTTCCCGGCTTTAAATTAAGCGCCTACCCCGTTGATCTACGTGCAGAAGAATCACCAATGGCGACAAGAAATCAGTGAGGCAGCATTGCAGAGCGTGGACCCAATCCGAGGAAGCCGAAGTAACCCCTTCGGAGAAATAATCGAGTCCTCTAAAACACGCAACCACCATCTAGAGATAAGAGAAGACACAGATTACGTGAATCAATGGTGGATTGGTGGTTACGTCTTGGCTCTAGTCACTCGCATGGCAGCGCTAATGGATGATGGTTACCGGAGAACTTTCTCCGGCAGCAACCATTTCCCCTCTTTTAGTCTTACTAGCCGCTACTGGATTGAATCATTAATGTGTGATATATACAACCAAATCCACTCAACTCCAAAATCTAAAATTCCATTAGATTCCTCACCCATCGTCCGTCCATAATTCCATCAACCAGACAAGAACCAGTACAGAGAACCCCAGAAAAATGCAATATCATTCTCTGATTCAATCGCTTGTTTTCCTCTCTCTCCATCTCTCCTTTACCTGTGCATTGTACTTTTCCCTCCCGGACCATTACTTCAAGTTCATGCATCCATCTCTTCGTCAGAACGTATCGGACGAGTATATCGAGCTGACCAAGCCCCTTCCGTCCGACGTATTCACTCCTTCCTGCTCTCTCCAGCTTCCCCAAGAGCGCTTTGCCCGCCCCATTGCATCATCCCTGTTCTCGTTCTCATACTCACCGCCGTCCGGTTGTCTAGCCCCATGGACCCACGTCGTTCTCGAATTCCGCGCTTCATGTGACGATGAACTGTACGATAGGATCATCGGCGTCTGGCTCGACGGCGTCGAAATTCTCCGCACCAGCACGGCGGAGCCTACGGAATCTGCAATGTTCCCAAAGGTTCGGAAGGACGTCACCAGGTACTCTTCCCTGCTTTCGCGGTCTAATCTCACACTCACGGTAATGCTAGAAAATTTTGTTAACAACGCCTTCACCGGAGTTTGCAACGTTAACATTTCTCTTCTTTATTACGGGGAGAACGAGACCACGAATTCGCCTTCACTTGAAGATCGGAAATATCACAGAAAACTTGGTTTTTTAACCGGAAAAACTGTCGATCGAACTGAAAAAGAGGGAACATTCGGATTTAAAGATGAGGAATTTACAATTACAACTATTAATAAATCTGAGAAGAAATCAGGGTTAGATGATAGATCTGCAACTGAATCCGTCGAGAACACCCGAGCGATATCTGCATTCCCGGTTGAAGTAAAGAAATTGGGATTTATATCTTATAGACCTGGTGGTGGAAAGAGGGGGTTGAAAGGATCACAAATTTTATATGAAAAACCTGCAGACATGATAATCCCAATTTCAGGTAATAACAGTAATGGTTTCTGGTTCCGAATTCAGAATGAGTCAGATGTGTACACCAGAGAAATCCAGATTCCCCTTAATACCCACAGAGCTGTTTTGGAGGTTTACGTGTCATTTCATGGAAACGACGAATTCTGGTACTCGAACCCTCCTGATGCTTACTTCAAAAAGAACAACTTGACCCTCGAACGAGGAAATGGAGCTTTCCGGCAAGTTTTTGTGACAATAGACGGTGCTTACGTTGGATCGGAGCTACCTTTTCCGGTCATATTCACGGGAGGGATCAACCCATTGCTCTGGGAACCCGTCGTCGCAATCGGAGCATTCGATCTTCCTTCCTACGACATTGATTTGACTCCGTTACTCGGTCTTCTTCTGGATGGAAATAACCATTCCTTTGGACTCGGAGTGAGTGACGGAATTCCATTCTGGCTTCTTGACGCTAATCTGCACCTTTGGCTAGACCCAGATGCGTCTGTTGTCCAAGCAGGATCTTTGTTTTATCAAGCCCCCGATGTTTCAGTGAGACGAATTCCGAAATATGCACCACAGCTTAATGGATTCTTCAAGACAAAAGCCAAAGGGATGACGGTGTTCTCCGGATGGGTGAATTCGACTGCAGGGAACTTCACCACCAGCATCAAAAAGAAATTGAAACTCAAGAACTCGATAAAGTTCAAGAAGAATGGAAAGATCAAGGATGTTAAACAGAGAATCAGTGTGAAGACAAGAGTGATGGTGATGTCTGACAGAGGGTACGTTCTCAGTCGAGCAACCTTCTTAAGGAAGTACCCTCTTAGCATCACAACCACCATTAAAGCAGGACTAGAAAACAATACGTATCTATTAGTCACTAACATCTCTCATTCCATGATTGAGAAAACCTCCGCAGGGCACTTCTCGAGCTCTGTTACCAATTCCCAAGAATCCTCCGGAGAGATGGTGTTTCAGGGCAACTCATTTCTCTCTGGTTCTGGTAATACTCAACAAACTCTCAAATACAGATACGGGTACAGTTGCTACTCCAGAACTGTCGCAGCAAGCAATGGGAAGCTTTTGAAGGATAATTCAACAGATTTCTGTGCTCAACCCCAAGGATAATTCAACTGATTTCCCCCTTCCACAGTGAGATATCTATCTAACCCTTGACTTAATTTGTAGTTTGATCTAAATAAACAGGTTGTGCTTGTAAGTTTCAGTTTCTCCCTGTAATATAGTTCCTAGTCGCCTTTTAATTTTGTACCATGAGAAGTCCATAGCTTGTACTATAGTTTCATAATTCCATATATAGCATGAGGAATCTACTTGTCTTATTGTAATTTTTCTTTGTTGCATGTTATCGTGCTTCTATCTGAATGTTCTTCTTCTTCTTCTTTTGAATATTCCCTGCTCTGCTCTGTTGTCACAGTTTGATATGAAAATCTTGATTGCACAACATGTTCTAAATGTCACAGCAGAAACTCCCTGCTGCAATGATCACAGAGAATAACAGCACCAAGGTTCATTTTTGTTGGAGTTATGAATACATAATACTGCTATTGCTATCCCTATAGGGAAGGCACGTTCATGTTGAGAGCGAATTGCCTGTAAATCACCCAACTAGAAAACTCTTCTGTTGAAGGTTTTCTTTTGCCTATCTTGACTTTCTCAACTCCTTGACCATTAATCATGGTTTCAAATTTTCTTTGACTTAAATAGGCCCTAATTGGAACTGATCAATTGGATCAATTGGGATCCATCGTCTTACGTGCTTTTTACACCCATATCATGTGAAATTTCATTTCTCTTCGAATTCGGAATACCAGAGTCGGCAAAATCCTCTTAGTACACTCAACTATCTGACAATTAAATCACTACACAAAGTACAAACTAAGGTCCCTCCCCCTCCAAAAATAAAGTCTTCGTTTAATCCACAAAAGGTAAGCAATTTCATCCTACAAAGAGTTGAAAAAACTAATACTGTGCCGATGAGAGAAAGAGAAGTTTGCTAACATGATATTAATTTAAGAGCCATTCCTTTTTAGTGAATTGAAAAAAAAAAAAAAATCATTCATTACGCGGTGGGGCAGTGAAAACAAGTCTGCACATTTAAATTTTAAAGGAAAAATTTCTTAAACTTTCTGACAATTGTCTAAAACTTAATTAACATGTGACATCATGTAACTAGAATTTTTTTAAATTTCCTAAAATGCCCTTATTATTTCTTATCTTTGCTCTGGCTTGCCCCAAACCACTCCCCATCTTCTGTTGCAGTCGAGCTAAAGACACCTTCTGAATTGCCTTCCGCCTTTCTCCTCAGCTTGCCCCAAACCACTACTGCAAAGGATTTTAAATCCAAGGAATAGAATGAATGAAGCCCACTTTCTTCTATCAATCCTCAACAGATTCGGGGTAAAGCAACTCCTGTTCCCACTTCCCAAATTCCATTGTTCATGGGTACTTTCAATTAATCAAGTTTCAAGTTGGAACCCTCTCCTTGTGGCCAGTTGGTCTCCCAAAAAAAGAAAAAAATTAAGTCCGAGATTCAACCATGTTTCAAAACAAACATTGATACATACGAGTATATGACACGAAACGTATCAGTTTGCAAGGTCATTGAAACACTAAATATTAGGGTCTACGACCTATGCCCATGCTTCAGTGCTTAAATATTAGGGTCTGCATTCACCATAGTGACACTGGTAGATGCAGAAGGAGCAGCATCTGGTTGCTTGATGGCGGGTGGGCCCATAGGTGCTACATCTGGGACTGCCGTTTCAACTGGATTGGATGCCTCCAGCTGAAGTGGCAGTTGTGATAGTGAGGGCTAGTAACAGTAGGCAGGCAGCCTTCGGCGATCGGCAAAGGAGAAGCTGGTCTGGTTTCCGATGAAGCCTAGAAGCTTAGGGCAGTTGATATTTCATCCGTTAGATTTTATTTTGAAAATTTAAGGAATAGTGGATGGTAAATTGGACATTCTCTTTCTTTCTGTTAGTACTTACCAACGATGCCGATTGTTAGAAACAGTAAAGGTAGAGTTAGTCAATTAACTAAACCATAAAGATAATTTAAGAAATTTGCTTAATTTTAAAAATACCCTTAGGACTTTTTTTTTCAGGGCAAATTTGGAATTCCCCGTTCTCAATGAAATCAGCAATGGGTTGGGATTTCTACCCCCATTGAGATATAAGGTTGAAACGGGGGGTAGGATATTTGAATTCGTGATCGAGGATGGGATATGCAAAACTTGGCCCCGCCCGGACCTGTCCGGTTGCCATTGCTAGGAATGTGCACAGCACAGGTTAGACCTCATCTGCAGTTGATTGTTCATTGTTTCAATCAGCAAAGACCTGAGAATGGGATGGGAGAATTGGGTGAGAATGCGATGGGAATGAGATGGGTGGTAAAAAGATAGAAATTCTTAAAAGACGTGAGAATGGGATGCGAAAATTGGATGAGAATGAGATGAGTGGTAATTGGTAAAGATAATGGGAGGGGAAAATTGGATGATACAATTTCTCAAAAATTAAGTTGGGAATGGGGTCGCACAGAAGCGGTGCTAACCAAGGATGATATTCAATTTTTTACAAAGTAAAACATAACCTCAAAAATTAATGAAAACCGATCAGCATTATGAGTTATATGTCACTCCGAAGCCAGATGTATTTTACATTAATCTATAGTCGATATTTATTATTGAGTTTGAGGGCTAGGCTGCGTTTAGATAAACTTCATAATTTGTGCCTTTAAAGCCCAAAAGCACAAAACCCCAATTTAAGCGGGGTTTGAAAGCATTTTTGCTTCAGATAAAAATGTTTCTTATACCAATTCTTACCAACACAACCCGCTCAAAATCAGTAGTTAATGATATCCAAATAGAGCTAAATTGTAGAAAAAGTGCAAACTCTGGCTTCATACTATCAAATTTTCTCTTTTAAAGGAAGGAAAGGAAAAATCTAGGGCATTTTACAAAAGAAAAAACAAAGTTTCATTTATTGACAAGATCTGTGATATTTTAGAAAAAAATGTTCAATCCCGTGAGTTTAGAAAATAAAATTTATCTTTGGACAGAATTGTCCTTTTCTTCCCTTTGGTTATGTTTCACCATTATCATCAATCAAAAGTTTCCTTTGACCTTCCCAATTTGAAAAGTTCAAAGGATTCATATTCTTTTATCTGTCTTCTTATATAATCCTTCCTGGATGCTATTTTGTGTGCTCCTTTTTTATCTCCCACCGGTTCACCAATATATTGGAAATTTTCTTGCAAAAGTTTTGCCGAGCTTTTTTAGTCACCGTTTAAATTTTCTAATAGTTTTCAATGATGGTTGAATAAACTCAATTTCATGTTAAAAAGAAGAATACTGTTCGGGTCATGGTTGATTTGGCCTCTAAAACCACGTGGTCGCCCAATCATCTTGCCTATGTCGGCACCGTTTCATTTCCGTGGCCTACCTTATCTCCTCGGCCACGTTAGCACTATGTCACCTCCGTGGCCTACCTTATCACCTTGGCCACGTCAGTACCGTGTCACCTTTGCAGCCTACCTTATTCTTTCAGCCACGTCAGCCCTACGGCACACGGATAAGTACAACCAATAATAGGAGAATGATGAGGATAATTCCGTTGGGGATTAGGATCCTATCTCTAAGACCTCGGCAAAGAACCTCACCCCAGCAATCCCATAAGCCTAATCCAACTAGGATGCGGACTTACGGCTATAAAAAGGTATCCCACACTCGAGGTAAGGGCATCAGACTTCTAGCACTCATACTCCCTCTTTGCTCGGCCCAACTCTCTCATTGCTTGGCCTAACCTTTCTCTACTTCCTACTGACTTGAGTGTCGGAATATCTACCCTATTAGCAAGGATTATCTAATTGTTCCCCTTACTTCATGCACCATCTCAGATTGAGCAGCATTAAATTCTAATCAAAGTGTAATAATCTTCCTAAGGTTTAGAGTGAAAGACGTAAATACCTTGGGCTTCACCCATCTCACCAAATCAATGGCTGCAATATGCAGCAGCTGCAGCATTTGCTAAATTTCTTCCCTTTTTATTAAAGATTTCATGATGAGTTTTTGAGAAAAGATGTGAAATATTTGAGCCTGATATGGTTTTGCCATTTGACGGCTAACAAATAAGGCATTTAATCCATTTATCCATAGAACCGATTCAATGTCTCTCAAGTTCCTTTAGAATGCCCTCAAATCCAAGTTTTCAAGGGGGAATACGAGAAATAATCACTGTTTTCAAAATCGGACTGGACCGGATGGTCGGATCGGAAAATTGGGATGATCGGTTTCGTTTTTCTCCAAAAACCATTTTTTCCCCCAAAATTATTGATTTTGGTCAATAAACCGCTGAACCGATCGGTTAACCGTTTGAATGGTTTTGGCCGTTTTTCAATTTTTTTATTTTTTTATTTTTTTATCAGAATGGGCCGACCATTTAAGTTAAACGGTCGGACCATTCGAATCGATAACCGGACCCCTGACCGGTTCGGTCACCGGTTCGTTTTTAAAAACCATGGAAATAATGGATAAATCATAAATCTAGAGAGAACATTGAAACAGGTACGAAAGGGAAAATTCTGTCCAAAAAACTTTTACTTTTGCGTCCACTTATTTGAACATTATTTTGAAAACATCACCGATTTTGTCAATTAATTAAATTCCATTAAGTTTTTTTTTTTTTTGTAAAAAATCTAATCCTTGTTCCATTCTTTTCTTTAGTCATCATCTCTTCTCCTTTCAGTTGTTTTGTATAGAAAGAAATGTTTTGCTGCTAAAGAGGTAGCACAAGCCTTATCCTCTCGTATTTGACATTTTATAGTTCTCCCGTTTCCTGCTTCCTCCAAAGTTATGTTTGGTTTGAACGAAAAGGTAGGGAAACATACAAGTATCACTGAATTTTCTGAGAATCGGTGAAGGATTAGGAGAAACCCTTGGACTCGATTGGAACTTGATATATGTTTGGATATAATTGCTATTTCCCAAACTGGACTCAAATGCAAGTAAAGTCCCTTTAAAAAAACAAAACAAAACAAAAAACTGAAAGATGTTGGAGGGAGCCAGGGAGGCAAGTAGAGGTGTCAATGGATTGATATTGGGTTGGACCCGTCTAAATCAAAATCAATTTGGACAGATTGAATGAACCAATTAGACATATTGAATTGGATCAATTCAGATTTAACGGTTCAAAGTATTTATTGGATTGGACCTGGTCCATCCCTAATGAATTTATATTGGATTGGGTTGGATTGAGCTAATATCTGGACCATTGACATAAGATAAGAATATAGGTGTCAATGGACCAGGTTTGAGTTAAAACCAATCTAAATTAAAAGAAATTTTTGAACAGATTGAATGGTGCAGGCATTGAATTAGACATTTAGATTGATCCAAATGGTCCAAAATATTTATTGGATGGAATTGGACTTGTTCCATTTCTAATGGATTCACATTGATCTGGATCGGATTGGACCAAATCCAGTCCAACTGACACCCCTGGCGGCAATAAGCATTGTTACAAGTTTGGAAAGTGTTCATATTATATTGATTGCATTGGGATTGGATACTTAACTAGTTTGCATTGAATAAGACTAAACCTACATTATACTTTAGATCTTACATTCATATAGTTTAGTTGATCGGGGTTTTGTTAAAAGGGTCCAAATCCATAAAAACACAATCTGGGTCGTTTAAATTTAAAAGAAAAAGAAAAAAGGAAAGAAACTAAATAGGAATCGCAACGGGGCAGGTCCCAATTCTGAAATTAACCCCCAGCCCTGTCCCCGATCCCTGTTGGGGATGAAATTTGTCCTCCATCCCCGATCATCGACGGGACCCCGGGGACCCAAATCCCTAAAAATTCTTTAAATTATAGTATCTTTTTTTTAAAATAAATTTACTTAAAATAAATAAAAATTATAAATTATAAATAATGTTTTAAATATATATATATATATAATTGGGGTCGGGGTAGGATAGGGACCTCAATCTCCATCCCCAACCCCGACCGATCAGAGATTCCTATTAATCCTCGTCCCCATCTTCACTCTGCCAAAACAATCCCCATCCCCGACTCCATCGGATCAAAAAATTTAACGGAATGGAAAAATTGCCATCCCTAAGACTAAAGGCCCATCATAGTTCACGGGTATTCAAGTTCGGATCAGGCTAGAAAAATGATCAGAAATCCATCGGGATGGCAGCTTAACACGAAACTCCAACATACCTGCCAATACATGCGTCCGTGATGAATGCGGAATTTCATATGGCCAAACTGAAATTGGACTCGACTGCACAAGTATTCGATCCGAACGGCCGTTTGGAGAGATAACTGTGAGATTGTACCCCACCATGAGACACAAAAACAGAAGGGTCCATCTCCCTGTCCGGCAGCCAGGGCGCTTCAAAATTGGTGAATGACAGAATGATTATAATCTTTCTCTCTCATCCCCACATCTGCCCAGTCTCCTTTACCTTGTTTTTCCTTTGTTTGGTAGACGTTTCCAACTTCCTATTGCTTTTTCAATTTTCATTGGGTGATGATCTGGGTACATCACCTTTTTTTTGGTAAGGGTGGCACCTGCACTCTGATCGCTCGATTTGTTTACAGCAAAATTTTATTTGCACGGGTACAAATGTATGAGAGTACAAATGTGCTGAATGTAAATTCTAATTTAATTTTGCTTCATATTTAACCTTCTTATTTGTCTGTGAGAAGTAAACTGATGTAGTCTCCACCTCATATGAAAGAGCATGGTTCAAAGTGTGATCATACGCAAAAGTAAATACGAGTCGTCTTTTTTGTTCGAACTTACCCCCCTTAAGGTCATCTTCCCATTTCTGTAAAAGGGGGCTTTTTTTGTACCCTTGATGTTTCTCCTATTTCTGGTAAAGTCATTCTCTCATTCCTATTTCTGGTGAAATGGAATTCCCCTATTAGAAGGAATAGTCATCCCCCCCCCCTTGGAATGAAATTTCATTCTAACAGATTCCAATTTTTATTCCGATTCCAGTCTGAACCAAACAACTATGGGAATAGACTATTCCAATTCCCATTTCAAAGAATTCCAATTCCAATTTTGATTTCAATTCCGACTGTGAACCAAACAGACTCTAAGTTTCAGAAAATTGAGCCAAAACATCTTTAGGGTATAAACCCTTCAAAAGTGGCCAGTGTCCTAACTCCATGTATTTAGGCTACGTTTGGTTTGAAGGAAAAAGTGGGGAAATGAAAGGTAGGGAAACCTATGCAAGATTGTATAGGTTTCCCTACCTTTCCTTTCCCTACTTTTTCCTTCAAACCAAACACAACATTAGTATTTCAGTGACCCCAAGATACACATATTGATACTTTAAACCTTATGAAAGAAAATGAAGGTAGGATCCTACGAGGAGGATTATTTTCTTTAGGAATACGTAATACTTATCAAAAAAAAATAAAAGATGATATGGTACCCTCTTCATAAAAGAAAGAGTTGAGGTGAAAGAAGGTGATGACAATTTGTGCATCAGTCTYTGAGATGCAAAATTTGCACTACCAATGAGTATAAACGAGATAAAGTACAAATTTTTATCAGGTATGATGAGTGCACATCGTAGCTACAAACAGATGGATACAAAACTGAACTGGGTGCAAAATTTGATCCAATTCAGACTTGCACTGCAATCAAATGGAGCCAGAAAGACAAGAAATAGAAACAGATACAGGGGTATTGGTGTAAAAAAAATGGGATGTGCGGTTCATGTGCCCTCAATGATCAACCTTTCCTTTTTGCCATAATAGTAATATTTCATTCGCTAGATATGTGCTTGGAAAGTAAAATTTGGTTTAACATTATCAAATTTGTAGATCACAACACAGGCGAAAACATTTCCCACTCACCCCACACAAGATTCTTGAAGATGAAATCAACAAAAACATCAAGACATTTCCAACTGAAACATCACAAACAACCAAGAGAAGCCAACGAAAGCCTAAGAAAAATTATTACAATCATTTATGGGAAAGTTAACATCACAAACAACCAAGAAAAATGAGAACACCCACAAGAAAATAAAGTTAATATAGATATTTTGTGTTACCAAGCGTATGATTTCTCTGTGTATGTTTTTCTTTTAGAGAGAGAAGAGAGAATCTGATTATGTATATTCATTTATGGGAAAGAAAGGGAGAACATAATTTTCTAATCTACATTTGGGCATGAGAATTCCTCATAAGAGCTCTTCTTAGTTTTTACACAAATTACTAATATTCGTAGATTAGTTTCCACGATGCAATACCTCCCATCACCTATTGTGGCAATTGCTGTTGTTGTTGTTGGGCCTTAGCAATAGAGCGACGATTTCAGAAAACTGTGGGCGCTTGGACGGGGAATTATTCCAACATTTCATCATCAACGACCGCAAGACTTGTGGACAATCCTTGGGAACATCTGGTCTCAGCCCGGAAGCAGCAATCCCAACAGCTGCCTGAACAGGCGAATATGCCGCATAAGCTGCCTCCCCTGTTACCATCTCCCAGATAACCATCCCAAAACTATACACATTGCTCATCCATGTCTCGCTTACACTCTCTGGATCACCTGCAATAATCTGTCATCACCAAACAACATCATCACGTTAGTCATGTTCTTAGCAAAAACTCAAGATTCTTTACAGTTTACATAATTATACCAAACAAAACGACCCTTTCACAACTTGAAAATTTTTGCAGATGAAGAATTCAACTCAACTATTTTGGCAAGACTTCTACCCAAACTAGTGGCAAACATGACAAGATCTTACAAGGTTTAATTTTTACTTGGGCATGCTTCATGATGAATGATAAAAGATAACTCGGGTCACTGGGTGGGATCCACTAATGAAACCCAACTGAGTGAAAGTAGCACTAGGGTGATAAAAATGATTTGTTTAATGGGACTCAGTAGGCATGCTTGGATAAGCATCAGTATTAAAGTGAAAAGGCAGAAGCAGATGCAGTTATAATAATATACTCGGCATGCTTGATGAATTATATTGGGAGAATTGCTTTACTTACTGATCCACAAATTGTGGTAAGCCATAAGTGATGTAAAGCCACCAATTTTAGGTATAACAGTAGCCTTAGAATAATAAGCAATTTGTGCAACTTCGTTTGCGGAAATTAACTCAAATTAATGGCCAGACATGCCTTGAGGTAGAATTACAGAGTCAGGAGTGATTGGGCAACTAACACATACTGCTGCAACAGTTTACTGAGCTACAGTGGTTGATTGGGTTTTAGAGTGCTTAGACAAAGCATGTTAGCTAGTGAAATATTGCTAAACACGTCTAGCCGTCTAGATGAGGTTAATGTAGCATAGCATGCTTTGACTAAAAGCGTCTTGGGAGACAGTATGTCAAATCATCTCTGCAAGAAAGGAAAATCCTTTCTTTATCACCTCTCCCGTTGAATGAACAGGTCATATCGTCAATCAAGAGACTCCAATTGATAGGCAGCCCCAGTTCAAATTCAGCAGTTGGCCATAAAATCATCAACCATCCCATGAATTACATTCTTTTGGACTGTTCGACGAAGTTGACATTATACTGATAGAATGTCCAAAAGAATGCATTTATTATATGGTTAGCATTTTCCCATTGAACTGTAGCCAAACCAAACAGGTGGTGGTCCGTTAGGGTGGGCATCTAAAATCTAAATCAACTCGAGTTTGTGAATCAATTGAACAATTGTGTCAATTGGGTGGACAAGAGCAAATTCTTTCTTTTAAATTTTAGTACTTCGTATGTAAAGTTAAGAAGGTAGGAAAACCAACCTCCGGAGCAAGCCACCGGTAACCGTCAGTTTCATACTCCGTCACCTCTCCAGTATTCTTGCAAGCTGTCACAATTCCCATGTCCCCAAGGCAAGCATTCCCCTGCTTGTCCAATAGGATCCTCTGTGTGTTTAAGTCTCTGTATGCGACACCATTATCGTTCATGAACTTCAACCCTTCTGCAATATCAATGGCAATTCTTATAATCTCCTTAGTCTGAAGCTTTTTTTTCTTTTGAATGATGTCATGGACAGAACCCCCTTCCATCAGCTTAGTCACCACGCACAGCCCATGATTTTCTTCGATGCAAACGCCGTGGAACTGTAAAATATTCTTGTGCCCACAACTCATCAGCTCCAAAAGATCTCTTCTGAGCTCAAATTCATAAGCACTTCCTTTCTCGCATCCTCTGATCTTCTCCATCGCAACCCGCTTGCCCTTGTAAACTCCCTTGAAAGAATTCGCTCCGATCTGATCTAGGAACTCAATATGATCTGGGTTCAAATGCCATCTCTCAATCTCTTCTCCACCGGACAGGACTGTCTGCCACTCATCAACAGAGACAATGAAGGGTGTAACCGGCAGGGGATTCTGAAGCTGAACCTTATGATTCGAGTTCTCGGTGCTATTTCCTTGACTGTGTTCGTCCTTGTCAACGTCGATCTCTTCAATTTCTCGGCCCTTAGTGTTCTCCTCTTGGCAACCACAGAGACCGAATGGGAGCTTCATAGCGGTGGGTTTTGGCTTCTTCAAAGCAGATTTCAGGGCAGTCTCGACCCGGGTCTTGAAGGATTTCTCTTGCCCGGATTGAACCAGAACAAGAACAATCCCGAGAGAAAAACCCTTTTTCTCAAAGATCTGGATCTTCTTACAGCAAATGGCCGCACTATCAAGTGCCCCCGACATGGCCGGCAATGAAATAGAAGAGGTACAGGCAAATGTGATCTTGAAAACAGATCCTTGGACTTCATCGTCAGACACTTCTTGAATAAAAATCGCAGGGTGGTCATCCACAGCTGCCTGCTCGAGCATTCGAATATGAAGGAAAACATCTTTCATGTCGAAACTCGCCTGTGCATAACTGTTAAAAGCAACGAAAGTAAGGAGATGAGAAAGAAAAATCACCCCGTGAAATTTAAAGACTAATCACGCAAAGTAATTGTTGACAAAGACCAAAGAACCCCAGAAAGAAGAATTAACTCAACCGAGATTCTTTCTCTGGTAACAAGCATTCGACCTGAGCGGTAAGGAGTCAAAATGCTTCCGAATATTGGAGATGAGCCTCTCTGGGAGCTGGCTACCAGGATAGAGTTGTGTGAGATTCCGCAAGACGCTACCCCACACAAGCTTTCGGCTACTCTGCATCCCAGTCGAGGGTGGTTCGCGAACCGAGTCGAGATTCAGGGAGTTCTTGAGCGTTGTGATCGCTCCGGCGACATTGCGCCCTAGACGCTGCAATTTCTTCTGCACAGCAGAGGATTCCTTGCCGGCGGCAGCCGAGGAAGTTGCCGGAAAGCCCTCTGATCTATCATTCGTTTTCATGAGAACTTGCTCTACCATATCTTCGTCAGTGCTGGTCCGGCTAGTCCAGCATTCGAGGGCAGCTGCCATGACCGAACCCAGATGCAAATGACGCTTGAAAACGGTAGAAAGAAGGAAAGCTCAGTAGAGTTGCAGAAGAGTTATTAACAAAGAACGAGGGAGAGACGTTTTTGTCTCTTCTAAGACCCTCTCCATCTCCCTTTTTAACTCCGACCCGACCCAACGGAGATGACGCGAAGGAACCTGTCTGTTGGATGTTCGGTGTTCCTTTTAAAAAAGGGCGATGATGAAGGTGATTCTCGGTGCTGGTGCTGATTATACAGCATACGTTTTCAATGGAGAGAGCATGTGTATCTATCCTGAGTGTATGTGCTCCTGATTTGCCTTTGATGCATACTCTCTCCTTAAGATCTGATGATCAAATGCTGATTGGGCCATGTAGAGTAGGTCCCGCCATCCAGTGAATCTTAGCCATCTATATTACATGGTAAGATATCAACCATGTGATACTTAGAGCTCGTTGGATGGGACCAGCCGGTGGTGCCACGTGCCATCAAGTCATCGTCATTATTATTCCTTCTTTCTTCGTAACGTTCTCTTTCTCGGAAGATCGTTTTGAAGTGTTTTGCTAATCACAGCTTTTCCGTTTTCCTTTTTCATGATTCGGCGACATGGGTTTAGAGCTTGGAAGGGAAGGGGAGGTGTGCGTTGCATGTGACCTGTGAACGACAACAGTTGAACTGTTGAAGGAGATTCATTTGTTGTGCAGATGAGTTGGACAATAAAATCAATGCGCCCTCATTTTCTCCGATTGCCACGTGTACAGAAACTTCCTTTTAAAATCGTAAAGGTACTACTATGGAGAATCCCGCTCTGCTAGACAAGTAGACAGCAGGCGTTGTAAGAATCAGAGGAATCTATTGGCCTTAATAACTTGACACATGTACGGTGTACGATTGAGTGGGTACAATTGAGTTAAATGTAAAATTACCTTGGTATCTTAAGATAAACTTTGCTCTACCATCCATCCATTCAATACCAACTGATATATGTACAGGTGGCAAGTAAATGGGGCTTTTGTTTCATGCACCGGTCATCTGTGCCCATACATACCATAATTTTAGCCTTCTTTTTTATTTTTATTTTTTGTGAAACAGCCCAAATGCTAATTTAGCCTTTTGTTTATGTATCAGGTATGTGAAACGTGATGGAATTGGAACTTTACGGATTTTTAGGGCAACCGTATGTGTTTGGCTGTTTGTCCGATTCCATTTTTTTTTTTTCCGATTCAATTGAAATTAGCTTTTATTTATAATTTTCAAACCAAACCTAAATAAGTAAATAGTCATAAATTCAGGATTCGTAAAGATTATTTTTAGGGTTTTTTACTTTTTTATTGTTCAGTTCACCCTAATAAATCTCAACTCTATCTTACAGTTTAGGTAGATACCAGTTGGAAATTGATAGTAATATATGGGTGAATATTGATATTATAGGTAGGGGTATTTTAAATTTTGAATTGCTATAATTCTGCAATAGAATTTAGAATTTTGAGATGAAATAAAGTATAGTTTTTATTTATTTTTAGGTCATTTTGTTCATCAAAAACTATTTTCTTTCATCATAGGTTATTTGTAATTTTTAGTTTTATTTATTTTATTTATCCAGATCTAATTAATCCAAGTATGTTCTAACTCTAATGGATAAGCTTTTTTCTCTTCAATTACATCACGTCATAAACACATCATAGTGGGGACAGGGTACATGCAAGATCAACTAAACATATCATTGAAAGCCCTAATGACCATTTTCGAATGAAACCCTAAGTCCTAATGCTCAACTACTGAGTCATGGATGGATAAATTCTTTTTTAAATGAATTTCGACTATGGTTTCAGAAATACATGATACAGAAACACTTGTAACCAATACAGAAACACTGTTGAAGGTTTTTGTTTTTTTAATAATCAAGTGATTTCATTAAGAAAAGAGAATGGTTGATTGGTTAAAGCTCTCCTAATATTATATCTTTCGAACATTAAAGATTTTTCTTTCTGAACATTAGATAAAATTATGTCTATATTATCAATTTTAAATCTCAATATATTAAATTTGAATCTGATCCGTTTGTTGCCTAACAAAAGATATATCAGCCGAAACAGTTGACACCTTCAAGAGTAAGACTGGTCGCCGAGAAGTACGGAGTAAAGACCCTAGAACTTGATGATGGCAATAGGGGTTGTGTGTTAGACCAAATGTATGCTCTATTACAAGAAAAAGCACTCCTTGCTAATTAATGAGCCCTTTATTAGCGAATCTTCAGACTAAAGGCTCAGTTTGAAAGGAGTAAAAACACAAATATGTATACAGAAATTTGTATTTTATATTATATATTTGTATTCTACATATGTGTATTTGTACTCTTTTCAAACTGAACCAAAAGGAACAGAGACTCCAGCAATCAGCAATAATAGGTAGGAATGATAAAGAGGTGGGGCGGGGATGGGGACGGGGAGCCTCTCCCCATCTCCATCCCCATCCCCATCCCCGTCCCCACTAACGGGAACAAGGTGAATTGGGATCTGCTATTCACACAATTTACCTCACACTGAACTCACAAGTAGGGGTGTCCACAGTTCGGTTAATTGAACCATGGTCCTTTTCTGTAAATTAAATCGGTAGTATCGGTTTTTCCATTTTTCCAAATCGAAACTGAACCAGTATTATCGGTTGACTAATCCACCGGTTTCAATTTTTGACCGGTTCGATTCTTCGGTTTTTTATATTTATAATATATATTATATAAATATATGTATAATATTATATTATAAATAATAAATGATATGTAATATATTGTAAATATTTTAAAAATATATAATATATTTATAAATAGATCATTATAAATACAATATAAGTATACATTTATATATAATACATAGAAAATATATGACATATATTAAAAATATATATAAAATATACATATGAATATATATACCGATCAGTTAGATTAACCGCATTTTGTGGTTCAATTTTCTCGATTCGGTTTTTCATGGACACCCCTACTCACAAGCACATCTCACCATGCATTGGGAACATCTCCCGTGAATAATAACATATAAATACGAGAGATATTCCCAATGCATGGTGGGATGTAGCTGTGAGATCGTTATGAGGTGCCCTATGTGAGCAGCAGATCTGGTCTTGACAAGGTTATCCCCATTCCTCGTGATTTTTTTATTATGTTAACCATATGTTGTTTTTTATTTTATTTAAAAAATAAAAATAAAATAATTAAAATTTACAATCCTATTAGAAAAGATTCAAACATATTCAACCATATTTTTAAAAATATTAATATATAGATGTATATGTATATATATACATATATACATATATATTAGTGGGGATCCCATGGGGCGGGGATCGGGGTCCTTGTGGGGCAAGGAGTGCTCTCCCCATCCCTACTAACGGGGATGAAAATTTCCCCATCCTCGTCCTCGCAAGGGGAAAATCATCCCCGTCCCTGCCCCATTCAGGGAGGATCCCCACAGGGATCGAGGAAATGGGGAAAATTGTCATCCCTAATAATAGGGAAATAAATGGGTTAAGTTGGCATGACTAGGATGGAAAAAAATTATATAAATATAACACAAATAGAATCGAGATTTTCTACTCACAAAGTACACCTCACAACACATCTCACCATGTATGAATCCTCATTAGGGTGCCACGAGCGGAGCTTCTCATGAGCTATTCGAGCTCAGCTTGGCTTGGTTTAAACTGAGCTTCGAGTCGAGTCCGAGCCCAATGAAGCTCACAAGGCTAGTATAGTAAATAAATAATTTCTTATTATATACATACATACATACATATACATATATAAATATATATAATAATATTTTATATATAATATTTTTATTTTTATGTATTATAGTAAATAATTTTTATAATTCTTAATTTTTTGTATATAAAATAAAAAATATTTTTATATGTATAATTTTTATTTTTTAGAAAAAAAAACTAGCTTGCAGTTGAACCGAGCTCGAACTTGCAAGTTTTGAATTGAGCTGAGTTGGAGATCAAGTCTCCAGCTCGAATCGAGCTCGAGCCTAACACAATTTCAACGAGCCGAGCTCGAATAGCCAAGTATTCAACTTGGCTCGACTCAAATCCACCCCTACTCTTCATGAATAACACACAAATAAGGAAGGTGTTCCCAATGTGTGTCAGGACATGTTGTGAGGTTGGTGTGGGGAGCAGATCCCAACATGTGAGGGGTTGAAGGGTGATGAGTAGGGATGCAAACAGATCAGGTTGAATTCAAATTAGGGTATATTCAAATCCGATCTAACACTGTTTATGTTGGATCCGATCCGATCCGATAGGACTCGATTTGAATTTGAATCCTATTGGTATGTCGGATTTTTGGATTTGATCGATCCAATTTGTTTTCTTTAAAAATTATTAAATTATTAAAAGAAAATTAAAATAAGTAAAAACAAAAAAATAATATAAGTGTTTTTAATTATTTTCATCATACATATACATATTTGTTATAAAAAAAATAAATAATATAACAAATTTATAAAATATAATATAAATAATATATATGTATTATATATTTATATTTATAAATATATAATATATATACGATCAGATCTTTTCAGATTAGGTAGGGGTGATCCAAAGATCTAAACAGGAGTGATCCGATCCATTTGCACCCGCAGTGATGAGTAATATCAAGAAATAAAAAAAAATGACAATAATAACATGTAAAACGTTTTAAAAAACAAATCCACTTGTTTATAGACATTGACACTTGACTCCTATTTAGTAGAGGATAGGATTTAGGTTTAGGGTCATGGATTAAAGATATAAGGTTTAAAATTGGGTTTCTTGTAGATAAGGCCTTGAATATCAATATAAAGTAATATTTTTATAAAATAACCAAAATAGAGTAACTTTTTTAAAAAAATATCGAGAAAGAGCAATGACACTGTTCATTGTCTTCCTCTACGTCTTATTCATTCGAGTACACTGTTCATGCGAGAGGCGGAGCAGCGCACAAGCACGTTTTTCTTCACGGTTACTACTCCGGAATCGCGGTGACACCATTCTCTTGAAGCTGAGCATCGCATCGGGTTTGAGGTTATCTCTCTCTTTTCATTTCTCCCTGGATTCGATGTTGTTGCAGAGGGGAAGACACACGCATAGTGTAAAGAATGCAAGTTGGTTTTCAGATCCAGGAAGCTTCGAGTTTTCCAATTTCTGAATCAGGAAGCTTCAGCACGCGGGATCTTTATGAATCAAGAAGCTTCAGCACGCGACGCCATGAGAGATG